CAATGCACTTGGGCCTTCATTATCATTCGAGAAATTCATCACATCAGCAGCGTCACGTGATTTCCGCTGTCGTAACAATATGCTTCACTAAAAGATTGATTCTAAGCAACAAAGCATTACAAAAATATCGATACACGTAAAAAAAAGTGCTAGGAGTGAGAGAAAATCAAGAAAACAAAAGTAAAAATATATTACACAAAATATAATTTTCTGGCGTGGAAGAAAGTAAGAAGTTCTTAGGTAAAAGCAGTGTTCAGTGTTGGGATATCTTATTCACTAGTGAAAGAGTTCTGAGAAAAGACAAAAAGAAAAAAAACATCTCAATCATCAATGCTTCATTTACAAGAAAGGCTTACGACAACAACATATTAACACAATATCTTTCTGTCTATGCAGAAGTAATTATTTGCATTTTAATACTTTACTTACTCTAAAGCGATACTTACACAAATAGTACAACCATTGATAAATGGCTAGGCCCTTAATAATATTTCCTGACATCATAGAAAGTGATCCTAGTATACCAATGGCAGGTTCTTTGATATTGTAAAATTTCGTTAGAACTATAACCAATGGTAGCATTAGAACTATATTTGTTACACTAAAGATGGCACTGATATCAGAGTATTTAGTGACGTCCCAGTCGTACATCTTTTGAACGTAAAAATAACTGATGCTCATTGGACCTGAAAAAATAAAGAAAATAATAATTTGACTTCCTACAGCTATTAATTCTAGAAACATATTTTTATTTAAGAATTAAAAATAAAAGTTACCCTTTTCTAGCTTTTGATTCAATACACATAATCTTACATACATATATGTTTTATTTAGCTCGGATTTAATATATTGTTACGTCTCCGTTCGTTAGTTGATTTTCCGTAACTTCGTTCTCACGAAACTTTAGCGACACAAGTCCTTTCTTAATAAAACTGGTTTATTCTTTCTGAATATGACTTTACTGATACACTTATTTTCAACAGTCGCTCTATAACAAACGCTATAACAACGAACGTTAACTTCAACAATACTTTCTGACTGCAGTTCAATTACTCACTACCTACACACTTTGTCACGTCACGCCGTGACCATCTTATATATACCAGCCCACCCCCAATCTAGCAAATGCTAGAGCACTCCCGAAGGAACAGGATAGTTCTAGAAAACGGGTGGCGTGATACTAGTCACGTGATTTCGCTGACGCAACAATATTTAGTGTTTTAACTAATTTTTAGGTCTCCTAATTAAATGATTAATTTATGAATAAGATCAATTTCCTACTTCAAAATTTACAGTAATAATACATCACGTAAAAGAAAAAAATTAAATGTACGTCCTTATTTTATAATTTCATTGATTTTTATCGATATCACATCAGAAATCCTTTAGAACCTACATCATCAAGAGTTAACTAAAGATGTGGTGAACATGACAGCAATAATTCTCTAGAACCTACATCATTATGTAGTAAATAAAGATGTGATGAACACGACAGCAATAATTCTCTAGAACCTACATAATTATGTAGTAAGTAAAGATGTGATGAACATCACGGTACTAATTCTCTGGAACCTACATCATTATGTTGTGTAACGAATTTATTATTATATATTTATTTTAATATCAAGGTTTGTTTAGATTAAGTTTATATTCAGAGATATGCATAGCTTAGTGTTAAATATGTATTGCGAAACTCCTGTTTATTCTCCAAAGTTGTAGAAGATTCTCGAGAGTAAGAATCAACATTATATGTATGTAAACGCTTACGTTTGTATTGTTACGTAATCTGAATTTTATAGAAAACCTCCACACGCCTAAGAAAGAGAGTATCTTTTATTAGTTCGCTAAAGTCAGTGTGCTATAAACTTTAGAAACTGTAACTGTAACTATAACGCTTATCAACCGTAAAATATCAAATATTTGACCAGGAACATTTACAAAGTTCGAACATTACAAATCATTTAACCTCAGTGGATTCTCATCGGATATTAGTATTTTTACGAAAACATTACATAAAGTCACCTGTAGGAAAAATATCGGTGTGTGTGTTTGGACAAAGCTAGCTAGATTCCCGTTAAGCGAATCGTACCTACATCAACTCGTAATTAACTCGCTCATTGTGAACCCTCAATAAGCTATCAAGGGAGTTCCAGATAAGAAAGAAGACTTTATATTGTTTGTAAGTTTGTGAAACTTTTGTTTAAAAATCATTGTTTGTAATGATATTATTGTAAATTGTACTGTTGTGTGTATATCAAAACGTACTTGTGTTAAAAAAGAAAACTGTGTATCAATCTTGTTGGCAAATATTATAAACTGACTATATATCTGCATTTATTTAAATATTAAGTCCAAAGAACAATTTAACTACTAAATTTAAATTATCAGTTAACTCAATTCCAGACCATTTGAAATTCTAATACGTAACAGTAGTAACTAAAGATATAGTGAACATCACGGTACTAATCCTCTGGAACCTACATCATTATGTAGTAACTAAAGATATGGTGAACATCACGGTACTAATCCTCTGGAACCTACATCATTATGTAGTAACTAAAGATGTGGTGAACATCACGGTACTAATCTACTGGAACCTACATCATTATGTAATAACTAAAGATATGGTAAACATCACGGTACTAATCCTCTGGAACCTACATCATTATGTAGGAACTAAAGATATGGTGAACATCACTGTACTAATCCTCTGGAATCTACATAATTATGTAGTAACTAAATATATGGTGAACATCACGGTACTAATTCTCTGGAACCTACATCAGTATGTAGTAACTAAAGATATAGTGAAAATCACGGTACTAATCCTCTGGAACCTACATCATTATGTAGTAACTAAAGATGTGTTGAATATCATGGTACTAATCCTATGGAATCTACATCATGGTACTAATTCTCTGGAACCTACATCAGTATGTAGGAACTAAAGATCACATCACAGTGCAGCAGTTTTTATTTGCTAAAACTTGCCATGATAATGAAGTTAAGAATAAAAGTGACAAATAAGCATTCGATTTGGACGTAATTTTGTCATTTAGCACTTTATACTACTGTGAGTAACAGCATTTACCTCACAAAAAAAATTCAAATATATTGTTCGGTTATGAAGTCAAGTTTCTAAAACTTAAGAAATATGGCGCACTAAATACAAGGCAACCACTTCGTATGTTCAAAAAACATTTTTTAAAAGAGTACTCGGAAGTGACAATAACCGCCGAAGCAAAATTTTTCATTATATTAGGGCGAACAACAATTTTTTTATTTTAATACGATACGTAATTTAATTTGGTTTGTCAAATGTCTCTACGTAATGACAAGCCATTTTACCGAAATTTTACGATGCTAGTAACACGGCACTCACTTCTAGAACGTTAGAGAAGCGTTGGGAGACTACTAGATATGGGGCAGTCTTGTATATATAAGACGGTCACGACGCGACGGGAACAATGTGGAATTTAACTGCGGACAGAGTATTGTTGAGATGATCACGTGAGAC